GGAGATTCGCCTGACGCTGACGGATGTTCGACGGCGAATTTCTTCCCTCTGACATCCGATCATCTGGAACTTTGCCGCCGAATGTTCCGCGTGGTGACAGGAAATTTAGAAAAACCACTCACGCTATCGTACGCCAACTTGACTCTCGGAACCATTAATATCCGACCATATCCCGATTCCCAGTAATCGTTGCAGATGAGACTGCACTCGGAAGCACTACATTCACCTTCCATGATCTTGGCCATCCTGAACCTGACGTGGGGAGGGGAGTAGAACGGTGCGGGATCCAGCACGGCAATGCCATTCCAACATGACTGTACCTGGACCGGCAAATGTCTCTGGAAGCGCTGTGACGAAAGGGGGTGGTGGAATATCTGCTCGAACGGCGCGTTCTCCAAAGCGGTACCATTGATATCTCGGGCGACCCAATTGTCGTAGAAAACAGGGGCCCCAGTATCCTCGTGGTACATGTAGTCGGCCGCGCAAGTAATTCCGGCGTTGTTGTTCCGACTCTGCCAGATGAGCTCGAGCAGGTCGTCAACACAGGGAAGAATGTCGTTCATGAATATGATAGTGTCGAAGTACTCGTTCTCAGCGTCACGTAACTCGTGAAGAGGCACGAACGCAGCATTGCGTACCTCGGCAAGGTACTCTATCCGGTGATTAAATGCGCCTCTAGTACGCATTGAAGTCCGGATAGTAATACGCATTCCAACGCTGCGGGTGAGGGCATCGAATATTCGTAGCAGTGCTTTGGTCTGGTCCGTGGAACCGTTTTCGTAGATAGAAACGAACACGTTGTGGTAGCCCAAAATTGCGGAAACGCGAAATAGCGCGGCAAATAGGTCAGGGATAACGTCGAAGGAATTGTAGAGATTAATGGCGAAGAAATATTTGTGGTCGCTGCCCATGACATCGCGCCGCGAACCTGCACCCTGGAACGGCTGCTCAGCAGCATCGGTTAAGCCAAAAGTATCGAACCAGGATTTCCGTGAAAGACTTTTGTAGCCCATGAGAGGAGTATAACGCTCTAGGGCCTGCTGGGAATAGAGTGGTTGAGCACTTCGTGTACACTCTTTAGTATAATGGGGAGTCAGTGTCGTTAGGAGGTCGAGCACCCGCAATCGCTGGTCGAGCGTCGGTTGTTGTATTGGCTGCCGGGTATTCTGGCGCGATTTTGCAGGTACATAACTGCTTCTCCATACTGGAGTAGAGGGCTGCAGAAGAATAAGCAAAAGAACAGGCGCATATATCCAGGTAAACGCACGCTTGTCCATGGAAATAATCTAGCAAATATCATGCCCACGAAGATACCGATAGCGAGAGCAAGGGGGGTCGGCACCCTTTTAATCTGTTGAACGACGCCATTCGGTTTGTTCATCGTGCTGGACGATGGCGAGAGCAAAAAAGATGGTGGACGTTCGGGTGAAAGTAGTGACAGGTCCGAGGATAGGAGCCGCTGAACACTCTTCCCGTTCTACCACCACCATCTTTTCTCACCCTCTGCTCATCGTCGTGGTCGTCGCCAACAGCGCATGCAGCGACGACGAGGACCGGCACATATATCTCCTCCAATACAATCGCCCTTGAGGATGTCGTCCGACGAAAAACAGTCCCGGCTCAACCAGCGCCATTTTGGCGTGAAGGCTAGAGTATGGGTTCTTCTCGGTCTCTTCATTGTCGTTATTTCGCTCCTTCATTACATCCTGCCCACTGCGCAAACATCGAAGCCGTACACTACGGTCAACCTCAAATCCAAGAATTACCTCAATAACACCCATGCAGACCCAAATCCATTCGAATTCTGTCCTGTCTACGGCCCTGGCGACGCCGTCGGTGCCAAATACGGTGCACTCAAGCTCTCGCAGAGCAGAATGCATCTAGGCAGTAGCGCGAGAGTCAACAGAGTTCTCAATAGAGCCTTGGCAGGCCAGCCTGTCACCATTAGCGTCCTCGGGGGTTCAGGTGTGTTTTTTGCGCAGTGCTCTACGTCCATTTCTAACATTGTTTCTGTAGTGTCTGCCTGCCATGGTGCTGGAGACGACCCAGTGGCGCCCAGATGCTATCCTTCGCGCTTTTTCCAGTGGTGGAACACTGTTTTCCCTCACCCTGCCTCTGAGCTCACCAACGGCGCCATGCGACGGACAAACTCCGCCTACTACGGCTACTGCAGTATGCACCACATTCCAGATGTTACTGACCTTATCATCGTCGAACTCGACTCTGACGATCCCGCTGACAAGGAGATGATGGAGCACTTCGAGACTCTTATTCGCTCCCTCCTCATCCGTCCCGATCAACCGGCAGTTATTCTTCTCGGACACTTCAGTCCACAAGTCCATGAATCCAGCGGTTTCGCCGGCCCAGACCACTGGCACAACGTGGTCGCACAATTTTATGACGTCGCGCACATTTCGACTAAATCAGCGCTCTACTCCGACTATATGAGCGACCCTGAAAGTGTTTCCAAATATTTTGTCGACCCTATCCTCGCGAGCCCACTTGGCCACGAACTTCTCAGTGACGTCCTCGTTGCCTATTTCCAAGCGCAGATCTGCTCTGCTTGGGCTGTCGCCACCGGAAGCTCTTATGAAACTGTACCTAACCGGTTGGATGACAATGGTGGGCTCGGCGATGTCCATGGATTGTTTGGCGGAGTGGGTCAGCGGAAAGGAGTACCAGAGCCCGGAGACGAGGGCAAGGAAGAGGTTGACGCCGAAGGAAACAAGATCAAGCCTCAGTTACTTCCGCCCACCAGCAACGCGTACGTTCCTCCGCTTCACGTTCCTCCTGGTAGGATCAACACACGTCCCAAGTCGGACGTCCCGTTCGAGGAAATTGCGCCGTACTGTGTTAGCGCTAACGACCTCATCAACCCGCTTCCTCCGTCGCTATTTTATGGTTCCGGATGGTACGCAGCACACCCGCAGACCGGTAGCGGCGCCATGCAGGCCACGAGTCATTACTGGTACTCGTCGTTGCCGTTGAGCAAAATCAGGATCCCCATACAGGTCGGCGCAGGAGATATTGGGGTATATTATCTCGAAGAACCAATAGCCTCCGTTGGAGCAGGAAGTGCAGTGGAATGCTGGGTCGACGATAATTACGCAGGAGCGAAGGTGTTAGAGAATGCCGCCGAGGTTGGGGAGCCTGTAGCAAAGTGAGCATCATAATTTTGGCCGCGTGTTGATAACTAATGGTTTTGATAGACTTGATCTCATCGACCACTTTGTGAGTCGTGGCTCACACTTTATAGAATGCCAACTATTGGGAGAGGAAGGACAGACAGTACCTGCATTCAAGATCATAGGTGTATTTGCAACATGATCGATTGTATCTCATTCGGATTATATTATGGGGACATTTCTTTCATCTTTATTGCCGCACGGTTGTTATTCTCAAATCTGCTATCCACCATCTTCAGGTGCTTATGGCGCGCGCAAATCTGGGGGCTATGAGAACGGTTGATCTCCCACCCAGCTCTCCAGAAACTCCCTTTGCAGCGCAAATCTCCAAGACTAATGGCGCTTTATTTCATTGTGTCCTCCAGCCTCTTTGCTTGGCAGTTCTTGCATTAGTGATCTGACTATTACTAACTTTACTTCGTTGTTGACGGGGCGTTTCTCGATTGGCCGAGTTGTAGTTCATTCGAAACATCCCATTCACGTCAGGAAAGTACATTTACCCTTCATAGTAACTGGCCCGCTACTGTCGGCCATTAGAGTTACCGGTGTCTATGGTGGCTGAAAATAGTCATCCCGATCTATGGTAGTCATCGGTGGAACGGGAAGTTCGAGCGCCTGTCTTTTTTTTTGTGCATTGTATTTCCGCTCACTGCTGCCCTTTAGGACGGCACCAACAGTGCTTTAGAAGCTCTTCGAAGCTTGGACCCCTGCCGCATACCCAACAGCCTTTTTCCACGCAAACGAGACGTTTTGCAGCCAGTGAAACTCAATTTCGGCTGGATAATTGACGGCGAGCGTCCGCGCCGGCTCTTGGAATGGAAGGTCCCAGAATTGGTTGGAATGGGTGGCGTTTATCACTTGCCCATGTATACGACTGTGCCAGAGTTTAGGTCCCAAGCGACGATAAGGAAGCTGGAGCCCTATCTCGCCAAAGAGTTCGGTATCACTTCGCTGAAACTCTACACGGAGGAGGTCAACCCAAAGTCCAGAATCGGTATCATGGACTGTATCACGTTGAAGTGCCACTACCTCCCGAAGTGCCTTACTCCTTTTGAGGTGTACGTCCAGACCCTGATACAGTTTCTCGACATTAGAGAGGAGCCGCGCTCACATGCGAGCTTTTGCCGTCACACTCGGAATATTATTAAAACGTACAATGCGAGTTTCAATATTTTGGAACTAGAGTACTCTAGTCTTTGCGCACGGTAAGAAGTAACATGAAATTTTATTTATCTTTCCGGTAACGGCCTACAACGTGTATCATAGTCCCAATTCACAGTACCATTCAAGGACTACGATGCGTTCATCGTGATGACTTCCAGGTCTTTCATATTCACGCAATCATTCTTTATACTATTCGCTATGTATAGAGACTTTCTCTTCGATACAGATGGATTGAAGTCCAAGGCAGACGGTCCATCCTATTTACTCGTTTCCATCACAGCTGACGGGACCTATAGCAACCACATCTTGCGATTGCGAACTGTTATATATATGTTGTTGTGATCGAACCTAAGGGCATCTTTGGACAGTTCAAGCGTTTTTATGATGGGAACTGTATCGTCTCCCATCTTCAAGACAATTCAATTTGTTTTATCTTCGCCTTCCCGAGGTTTGGCCGCTGGGCCCTTTGTAGCACGCGATAATCTTGAATGTCTCACCTGTGCAGCTTCGAATCCAAATTAAGCAACTCGACTGATCGACGTCGACACGATGTTCCGCATCATTCTCCATCCCAAAGTTGTTCCAAAATTCATGTTTCGCTCATTTCTAAGGCGGTCGCAATGAATTTGGTATTGCCACAGCATTATTATCGGTGAGATGGCCGAGTGGTTAAGGCGCCAGACTAAGGCTGACTAATCGATAGATGCGTCGATAATGGACCAAATCACATGGTGATTATGCTATCTGGTCCGAAAGGGCGTGGGTTCGAGTCCCACTCTCATCATCTTTTTAATTTACTCGCTTTACGGACCGTTTTTCCTAGGGTTGCGCACGAAACCTCCAAGGGGGTAACTTACCGTTTGTTACCGACCCCTCCCCAAGGGGGGTGTTTTGATACGGTAATTTACCGTTACTTACCTATCACGTGCGTAATCACATGATGAACGCGTGGTAACTGTAAATTATTTTTTCAGGACGTCCGTGTTCGTGTTTTAGGACATTTTCTTTGTCGAGGATGCTCTAAGTCATCTGAATATATTGCATATTCACTCCTGCACCACATATGCAGAATATACATGTAATTGTATTGAATTTTCATGCTTATCAGGCAGTCACATGATGTGTAAGTTACCTCGACGGAAAACCCCTCCAGCGAGGGGGGGTAACTTACCGGTAATAAACCCAAGTGTAACGAAACCTAGGTTTCGTGCGCTACCCTAGTTTTTCCAAGGATAGGGTAGCGCGAAACGTAAGTAACGTTTCTTACTGACCCCTCCTCAGGATGGATACTTGCCATCATTTTTCAGCCCTACGATGCATTGTACCACAATATTTTTCTTGCCCTCAAGCCTCGACTGAGAACTACCATCACGTGGCCAGGTATTTGTTCTACGAGTTCAGGAACCTCATGTCATGAAAGTAGCGTTAGATGAATAGACTTGCACGATTTCAGTGCAAGCTTGACAACGATAATCATCCTGTGTCCCGTTTTTTCAATTCTCTGCCCTGCCCTCAATTCTTCACAATTGAACAATATCCGCACGGGTGACGTCACTTCCGAGAAGGAGCGACTTGCACTTTTTTTTACCATGTAAGTCTCTTCGTCCGCAAATGAGTAGATAATCTGTTGACTGAAATCATGGAAAGGTTCCGAACCCAAGTTCTTCCTCGATTTCTATGGGGGGCAACTCCGATTTGCATCTCGCTGCCCTAATGTTGGAAAATATTGCACTCTCCGACGCTAGTGTAGTAGAAAACATTGACTTTGCAAAGTCTACCCTACCATGATTCGATGTAGCAGCCAAGGCACAAGAATGTTCGACGGACAAGATAAATACACAAATTGCGGATGACATGTCCTACTAATGCTTTCAGTTGGATGAAAAGCACTGGCCCAGAGATGATAACTTATATTAGAGATCTTTGACGGTGAGGCGGTACTTGATGTTGCAAGACGGCGGCCCGGGATACCGGCGTCCGGCGTCTAATACTCCTTTACTTCCGTCCATCACCATGGCACAGAGACTCGTTCAATTAATATACATTCATGGCTTTAGAGGTGCTTAATCTTCGTCTGGACATTGACAAACCTAATCAATATGCATTACAGGCGATGATACCACTTTCCAGGTCCGTCCATCCTGCCTTGGAAGCCGTAGTCTCGTTTAGCATGCTGTGTAGTCATTCCCCATTGATCTGCAGGAATACCTCGCAGCTCAAATACCTCCAGAACTTAATATCTGCATTAAAACCAGTCTATACCCCACGTACAAAAGCGTCAAGCCCATCTCGCATGCTACGAAAAACTTTCTCGAGTGGTGAGCGCCTACTGCGCCTCGGACTGCTGTTAGGTGCTGACTGTTTGTGTCACTCAGGTTAACAACACAACCACCGGGACCTGTTATTCTCCTGGGACACTCTATGGGCGGCCTCTTAGCGGCTGAAGCCGCGACACATATATCTAACAATCCCAACGGATACAGGCCGCATCGCATTGTCGCAATGATAGCCTTCGATACACCCTACCTAGGGATGCACCCGCACGTCGTTATAACAGGAATCGCCTCTCTTTTCTCTGACGATGGCAAGGTCAAGAAAACAGAAAGCGAGATGAACGAGCATCCCGACGTTCAAATCGTTGATAGCGAAGTTACCGACGGATGGGAGAATTTCCGCAAGAACATACCTGGTATGTCGCTGAGTCTATATGTCGCTCCCTTCCCTCACGCGCTAGACGGATAGGCCGGACATCTTCTTCTTCCCTGTCGCTCTTCTCTGCTCACTCATCTTCGTCCTTACCTTCCCGTTCGCCCTCGCCCTCCCTTATCAACCAGACGAAGAGCTTCTTTAATTCGCACGCTGACGACCCCTTGGTTCGTTGGGCCCGTAAACACTCAGACGAACCCTTTGCCGCCAGTAAACGCTGGCTCGTTGAGCATTTTCAATTCGGCTCATGCATGTTCGATCCCCCGGAGCTGAAAGCTCGATATACGGCACTCGTCAAATGGAATGGTGGACTATGGGTGAACTATTGGACACAGACAGTGCCGCGTGTACAGGAGGATGGTGATGTAGAGGAGGCAGATAACGATGTGGCCCTCCTGCAAACAGGCATGGCGGATACTCCGTCGAACACTTCGCCTAATACGTCTGTACCCGAGTCGGGTCCCCGAACAGCCTCGGAGACAAAGGCGGCGAAGAAAGACGACGAGAAACGAAAGAAGAAACTGAAAAAGCAGAGAGAGAAAGAGGCAAAGAAGGGCAAGATCGCACGGCATTTCGTCGTTCTACCGACAGGCCTGGGACAGATCCTTGGCGGTGGGGAAAAGTGGGAGAATGTACTGATCGAGGGTGTCAAGGACGAGGTGGGAGCCCATTGCGGTCTGTTTATTCGTGGACAGAATTTGGATTATGATGGACTTGTAGATAGAGTGAGTAGAAAGATTGTAGGTTGGTGTTATACGTTGTAGCGTTAGTCATTTTGTATTCGTTTGTAGAAACGGGTGTATGAAGATTCGGTATGGGCGAAACTATTGATGATGTATTATCTATTTTACGTGCTAGTGATAACTCGACCGTATCATAGGATACAGGTTCGAATAGATAAGTTGAGTCAAGCTTTTATTGAGGCTCACCGATGTCATCCCCTGGCAGCATAAGCCGGTGGAAACCCGGAAAACGCGTTGAAGGAGACGATAGTTAATGGCAGTGCTTCTCTGGACTTTGGAAGCTGTTATATGTTTTCCTTTGTTGAAGTAGACGACAAGTCCAGTGGCCGTGAAGTTTCTTGCGATACCCTATTCAGGGGAGGTCTTGACTCTCGACTCTCAAACGAGTCAACCAAGTTTCGTTACTTTTTCGACATTCGTGTTCAAACTTCGAAGAACCAGGGGATAAATTGAGAAAACGAGAAGTCAGAACCCCCGTCCCAAAAGTCTAAGAAAAGCACCATCAGTTGCGATGAATTGGACACTGTGGGAATTGAACCCACGACCTCACGCAGACAATCTAGTATGCAAAGCGTGCGCGCTACCAACTGTGCCAAGAGCCCTGCTGCTATAGTACTTAGCTATCACAGGCGGTCCGGACCACCTGTAAACCTTGCAATGCTCTTTGTAGCGCTTGTACAATGAATCGATGATTGCTATGATTGCTCATACTCTTACAGAAAAATAACAATTTGACAAAGAGTACTTCCTACTCATTCAACCTGAATATAATCCCCCATGGAACTCTGATGCGACGATGATGCTCCCTTAGGAGGCTTGATGACTAGGTCCAGCTGCTGCCTGTAAGAATGGTGTCAGTCTCGGGTCTAAAGGCATTGAGGAGAAAGATAACAATACTCACAACCGCATCCTCAATAAGAGTTTTCTATTTGCCGAATGCATATCATTTCCAGCCTTGATGGCACGCGCGAACAAATCTGCTCTGTGGTCAACCTGTTTGACCTGTAGAATCTTCTCGGGACGTTAGTATTGAAAGAGGCAGGTTGGCTTAAAGACATACCTTATTCTGACTATCCACCCTCCCTTGAATATCCCCTGATTGAATAAGAGTAACCACCTGGCTTTCAGTCTCGTCCACACTCCACCCGAAAGCTTGACTCATTCTGTCGAGACGAATGGATGAGAATGGCTGGAAGTATAGCACCACGGCACGGTTCTTGATTGCGTTCATCAGAGCTCGCACGTGCGAGGTGAGGTGGATATCGATATAGTGGCGGGTCTGAAACATCAATCAGCAGGAGAACGCAATGCTAGGGAAAAGGATCGCACAGAGTACCGCGATAGGAGATCAAGTACGGTCTGGAACTTGCTGGCCATGTATGCCTCGATAAGTTCACGAAGATAAGGCTCCTGCTCGATGTACACGCCGAACGAAGGGTTATCCAGCACCCGAGCCTTGAAGGCGCCCCGAGAGAGACTCGCCATCGCGCATATAGTCCCGTATATAGCGATGTCACTGGGACTGACGAGCCTCCCAATCCATTCACCGAGATCCTTCGTCGACCCCAGTCGCAGGAGGTTGTACGACGCCTTTTCGTAGTTGTCCTGTCCCAGATACGACAAGGCAGTGGCCAAGTCGAGTTTCGACTGCACTCTGTCCCGTTCGGGAGAGGACTTCTTCGCGCCGGTTGAAACCATCGGTGTCGGGGCATCTTTATTGGCAGAAGCAGAGGCCGCGGCTGTGGCTGCGTCCAAAGCGGCTTCAGCCTTGAAGACGTAGGTAGGCAGGTGGCCGTAGTTTCTTTGTTCGATAAGGAGCTCGAGGACGGAAAGGCACATATCAAGGACGTGCTGGCTGGTGGTGCAGTATTCTCGGGATTTTGTGTAGTGCTTCAGCGACGTGGCGTACTCTCCGATGACTCGATAAAAGTCGCCCAGGTCGCGGTGCGCCATCTGCACTGCTGTTAGAAAACGTCCAGTCGACAATCGAATACTACGCACCCGAATGCTCTCCTTGATCATGTTATTCGAATATGTTTTCAGCTCCATCTCGAGCTTCAATCGATCTGACTGGTTCTTAGCAAGGGTCTCGTCTATCCATCGCGAGCTGAGCGTGGAGAATTCAGATATCGGCGGCAGAGATCCGTTAGCATTCGCATGAGCCTGCTCGTACGCCGTTACGAGGCCTTGGTACTGCGACGGGTCGCGAGATTGGTGAATATGCTGGATAGCTAGGTGGAAAGCCTCAACGGCAATCGTTGGGCACAGTTGAATTATGTGAGTCAGGCGGTCCACAGCAGTACGCCCGGAGTAATTGGATATGTAACCTTCAAGG